GAATTCAAATATTATTTTTCATGCTCATATTATATCATTTATATATATTCGCACTTGCATTTCTCATTGGCCTTCGCACTTTGTGGGTTTCTCGATTTGTTTATTTATTTACCTTTATGTGTTAACTTTAATTTTGTTAAACCTGAGTATTTTATATGTGCCCATTTCTCTTCTTTTTCTCTTTCTCTTTCAGAATGGAGAGGTTGGCAGCATCGTGAGTTTGAAAATTTGTTGGTTCTTTTTTGTTTGTTTAATATTTTGTTGTCTCACTTAAAACGTTCAACTAAACGCACGATTTTTAATTTGTTTATATTATATTTTCCTCTTTTAATTTGTTACGCTTTGCACTTAGTTTAAGGTTTTTTTTATTGTGTTTTTTTTTATTTACTAACCAACCGGCATGGGAAGTTTTAAACTTTGACCTTTCAGGCTTTCCCATTGCCTGCTCTTACCTAACCATCTTGTAGGTCAGCGAGCGGTCTGGCGACGCTTAAGCATGCCTTTTCATTGGGCTTTCATTCGCGTTTTCAAGTGTTCCATTCATAAAACAAAGCAGCCGCAAACCGCAATTATTATAGGTTTTAATTAAGCCATTTAAAGTGCGCCCATCTCTCATTCCACCTCTGTCTATATCTATATCTATCTCTATCTTACTCGCACTAACTTCGTCTTGTACTTGTTGTTTATGCTGCATTGGCATTTGAAATTGATGCACTCTCTCTTCACTCCACAGGTGCAGCAGCTGGCGGGCAGCATTTATCAGGAGTTCGAGCGTATGATCAATCGCTATGACGAGGATGTGGTTAAGAACTTGATGCCATTGCTGGTGAACGTGCTGGAGTGCCTAGATGCCTCGTATCGCATCAATCAGGAACAGGATGTGGAGTTGGAGCTGCTGCGCGAGGACAATGAACAGCTGGTTACACAATACGAGCGCGAGAAGAGCGCACGGAAGCAGTCGGAGCAAAAGGTGAGCGTCTGAGCGCTCAATTGTAATCAACATTTAATTAAACCACTTAAACAGCTCCTGGAAGCGGAAGACCTGGCCGAGCAGGAGAACAAAGAACTGGCCAGCCGTCTGGAGTCTCTGGAGAGCATTGTGCGCATGCTGGAGCTAAAGCACAAGAACAGCGTGGAGCATGCCAGTCGTCTAGAGGAGCGTGAGGCGGACCTCAAGAAGGTGAGTAGACTGAAAGCCATTCATTAACCAGTTGCTGACTTCGGCATCCAACTCTCAGGAATATGCCAGGCTACACGAGCGCTACACGGAGCTGTTCAAGAACCATGTGGACTATATGGAACGCACCAAAATGCTAATGGGCTCAACGCACTCACAAATGAGCACTGCCTCCGATCGCATGGAGGTGATGCGGGCGCGACTCAACCCGGTGGCGCGCAGCTCGGGGCCTGTCTCCTATGGCTTTGCCTCGCTGGAGAACTCTGTGATGCTGGACACGGAGACGATTTGCAGTGTGGGCAGCCAGTCGGATGATTCCGGGCCGCCTTCGTTGCAGAACGAACTGGATAATTTGGCTGGTACCGTGGAGCGAGGCGCCGCAACAGATGCGCTGCAGCAACAACATCAGGCCACCTCGCCGCAGAGTCCCGACATAAGTCCCGTTGTGCCAAATGTGCCCGCAAATGGTAGGTGGAGGCGTCTACCAAATGGCTGAACCTTTAGCTAACCTGCAACTGTACTAATTTTCCAATATTCTATTTTCTTTTGTGTTTGTGTTTGTGTTAACTTCACTAAAAACGTATCCATATATAAAACAAAACCCAACCCCAACCCAGTTGGTCGTTCGACCACCAAGAAGGAGCAACGCTCGGACAACAATCTGTACCAAGAGTTGTCCTTCCAGGATAACGAAGAGAGCGAAGAGAATGAGATTGTTACGGGTAAGCAGTGGATACCTGAGATTCAGTTTAAAGCACGTCAAAAACGTATTCTTTTCTCTTTCTCTTACTGTCTGGCCGCACACATACACACGCACACAACTGAAACAATTGCACACACACACACACGCTCTCACTCCCTGGGACTCAATGGCCACTTGTCTCATGCTCTTTCTATGTCTCTCCTTTTCCACAACAGGCAGCTGGGTACATCCCGGAGAATATGCATCCTCAGGTAGGTACCACACACAAGACCAACTCCAAGAACAACAACAAACTCCACCACCAACACCATATAACTCCTATATATATGGATTCATCTATATAACCTGTAAATACATCAAATATCATACGATAATCGACTGATACGAAAGAAATACAATAAGTTATAGAAACGAGCATTTAGCATACAATGGATACTCTAGCGAAACGTGTTTTGTGATATGTGTTGGAATTGATGTGCTCGAGATACTGTTGTCACCATATTGCAAAGCTTAATAAAAACTATCATATTTATTGACCTCTAATGAAATTTCAAATTTCTCTTTTTATGCCAAAACCAATTTACTTATTCCAAACATCCCTTTTCCCTATTACCACCCATAAAAAAAAAACCAATCTCTTTGTACAAATATCAAACACTCAAACACCGACACCTACAACAACAACAATAAACTATCAAAGCTAACGACAACTATTTCGGTAAGTTTTCTCGTGCGTTACGATATACCTATATACGTAGTTCCTATCTCTTGTAGAGTCTCTTGCTATGTAAGTAGTGTCCCTAGTCTTCCTTTCTCTTCAAACTTTAGTTTTACTTTCATTGTTGGTGCAAGAGGATTTTCTCTGGGCTAAGGGGTGTTATCAGAGTTTATTAGTTTTAAATTGTTCCTATTTTAATACCTTTTTTTGTGGATAGCTTTATTTTGGTTTAGGTTTTGATAATATTTTTTGTTTCACTTAATTCATGACTTTGGTTTATTCATTAATATCATGCATGTTATTTGCTCCACTTAAGTACGATCCTCATATGTTATGCATACTTAAATAATTTCATTTGTTTTTACTACTTTTCAACATTTGCTGTTACGTTCCATATAAAATCCACACTCGTTCCACATATTATTTTTTTTACTTTCCCTAATATTGGTTTTATGAATACCTTTGCAGGAATGGGCAAAGAAGTGGAAAACCTCATCATGGAAAATAATGAGCTGCTAGCAACCAAGTAAGCACTAACTACCCATGAACCAAAAGCAATCAATCAATGTATTAATCTACCAATTCCCACACAGAAATGCACTCAATATTGTCAAGGATGATTTGATTGTGAAAGTGGATGAGCTGACGGGTGAAATAGAAATCGTGCGCGAAGAACTGAATGCGATGCAACAGTCGCGTGCGAAGCTAAGGCAGCGCATTAGCGAGCTGGAAGATGAGCTCAAGAAGACCAAGGAACAGGTGAAACAACAGAGTAAGTTACTCCAGACCCATTTAAATAGGCGCAGCTAGGTCTAAATCTGAAATCATTTCCACAGACACCGAGCAGGAGGAGAATGATGTGCCGCTGGCGCAGCGCAAGCGATTCACACGCGTCGAGATGGCCATGGTGCTGATGGAGCGCAACCAGTATAAGGAGCGGCTAATGGAGCTGCAGGAAGCGGTGCGTCTAACAGAGATACTACGCGCCTCGCGCACAGTCGACAATTTGGATAAGAAGTCGAACAAGAGCCTTTGGAAATACTTTAGTGATCTTTTTAAGTAAGTGAATCACTTATATTCCACGCAGCATATTGCGGAGTATTAATTGTTCACTTACTCTCTCTACAGCCCCTCCAACCGTCCGACGGAACGCGTCGCTGACGGTCTTGGAGGGGGGCCGATGTTTCGTCACTCAGGCGGAGGAAGTCCTGCCCACAGCCATGGATCACCCAGCCGTGGAGGAAGCGACAATCGCCTTACCCTAGCTGGCTCAAAGCCGCCGCCGCATCCGGCCAGCGCCGGTCTTGCCAACGCACTAGTCATGGCCAAGGACTATGCAGAGGAGGGCACCTCGGAGCGCATCAGCGCCAGGCGGCGCGAGCAATACAGACAGCTGCGTGCTCATGTGCAAAAGGAGGACGGACGCCTGCATGCCTATGGCTGGAGCTTGCCCATCAACAAGACCAATCAGGATGCCAATCCAAATCGCCATTCTGGCGGTGTACCCGTGCCCGTCTACTGTAATCCCCTAGCGCAGGCATCGCCACACATGAAGGTGTTTTGTGCGGCAGGGGTCAATCTGCAAGGTGGCTTCACAAAGGATGGCCAATCGCTTATTCCCGCCGATTCGCCCTATGCGCCACGCTCGACGCTTAAAATAGCAGAGATAACCAGTCCAACGGCTGAGCAGAGCGCCGAAGCGCTGGATCGACAAATGGCGCGTGCCAGCCTTGAGACCCTGGAGCCCGAGACCCAGCTCAGTTCGTTTGTGTGGATATGCACCAGCACGCATGCCGCAAGCACGGTCAGTGTGGTGGATGCCAATCAGTCGGCCACGCTGCTGGATGCTTTTCCCATATGTGCATCGCATCTGCTATGCATTGCCTCAGTGCAGGGCGCCATGGAGAGCGACTATGCGTTGCTGGAGCAATCGGAAGTGGTCAAGGCGGGTGAGATGCTGCAGCGGCCAGGTGAGGGCCCCGAGCTGTGTGGCAAGGTGGAGTTTGTGCGTGTGCGACCCAAATCGGACCAGAACAGCAACAGCAAGCAGAGCTCACAGGAGGGCGAGGAGGTGCCCGCGGCAATTACAGTCGTTGGCGTGGCAGAGGCCAAAGAGGCTACAGAGAAATCGAATGAGCAGCTGCCCGCCGTCGATGCAGCCGAGCCGCTGGGCAATGTGGAGGCCATCAAGATACGCCAAGCGTTGCCAGGTGCACCGCAGCGACTCTCCTCCAGCAACGCAGACATTAGCAACAATCACGTCAACAATAACAACAGTAGCAGCAGCAGCAGCAGCAATAATGTGCAATTCAGCATAAAATCGTTGAATCCCATTCTGGGCACCAAAGACCGCGATGAGCCCTTGATGAGCTCGGTGGGACCCACCATGTGGATGGGCGCCCAGGACGGTTGGCTGTATGTGCACAGCAGTGTGGGCCGTTGGCATGAGTGTCTGCACAAGGTGCTCCTGCCCGATGCTGTGCTGGCGATAGTGCATGTGGAGTCGCGTGTTGTTGTTGCGCTGGCCAATGCTCAGTTAGCCGTGTTCCGCCGCCAAACAGACGGCCAATGGGATCTGAATAGTTATCACCTGGTTACGGTCGGTGATCGCAATCATTCGATACGTTGCCTCTGTGTGGCCGGCGAGCGCATTTGGGCTGCGCATCGCAACAAGATCTTCATTGTTGATCCCATATCGCTAAACATTGTGCACTCGCTGGACGCGCATCCCCGCAAGGAGAGCCAGGTGCGGCAAATGGCGGCAGCAGGTGCTGGCGTTTGGGTGTCCATACGGTAAGATCATGATCGTTGAATCCCAACTCCAGTTAATCTAATCTAACTGACTTACTCTTGCTACAGCTTGGATTCCACACTACGTCTATATAATACACACACATTTGAGCACAAACAGGATGTGGATATTGAGCCCTACGTGTCCAAGATGCTGGGCGCTGGCAAGCTGGGCTTTAGTTTTGTGCGCATTACGGCGCTGATGGTGTCCAGCAATCGCCTCTGGATAGGCACCAGCAATGGCGTCATTATATCTGTGCCGCTGACCGAGGTGCAGCAAAAGTCATGTGAGTTGGCCTTTCCAGTCGATCTTTATGCAAAGTTTAAGCTGATTTTTCCTCATCGCTTGCAGCTGACCCCAATGGGCACATGCCCCTGTGCTGCATGGCCAATGCTCAACTGTCCTTCCATGGCCATCGCGATGCGGTCAAGTTCTTTGTGTCGGTGCCCATGCTCCAGCAGCCGAATGGCACGCTCACCTTCAGCAACAAACGGCCCGACATGTTAGTCATGTGTGGAGGCGAGGGCTATATTGATTTTCGCATAAGTAAGTGGAGTCAGCGGCCATCCAAACTCTAGCTAAACAATTGACCAGTCCTGACACATCAGC